GTTTCAGTTCAGCATTCACTAGACAGAAAAATCAAGTCTTCCTATTCCCAGTTACAGAAACCTCCAAAGCATTTACTTTTTGGATATGAAAACTCACATTTAGAGGAGAAAAAAACAAACCAAACAACCAAAAATCTCAGTCATGCTGGCATTCTATGCAGACTTGAACCTATTTGAGCTTGAAGGCAGTTCAAACACCACCTCAATCTCCCCTCTTTACAATATAGGATTTTCCTTTTATCAGAAGGGCCTTGATGCAAGTTTGATTAATGCCATGTTTGATACATCCATTTGTGTGGAAGAAAGCAAGCATGATTGCTGATAGGTGTAAACTTGAGGTGATAGACCTGTAAGTCTTGTCTTTGGAGCCTGGAGGCAAAGGTTGCAAAACCTTCCTGTCCTGTTGCTGATGAAACCAAATGTGGCTCCTGCTGCCAAAGGGATTGCAGGGGCTCCTTTAAACACAGGCTTCAGTTCCCACTGCGCCCATACCCGGGAGCTGTGGTCTGCAGCTGAGCTCTCTGATACAGGCTGACTGTCTAATGGTGTGCATGAAATATGGTGAAATCTGCTCTCTTGTCTAATATGAAGTCAGTGTAAATATAAATTGTTCTGAACACTGTTCCTAGTTACCAGAATCTTGAGGGGCTTGTTGAATTCAAAATTCTCCTTTAGAAAGCCATTGGATGCTAGGATGTTGCTTTATTTTTACAAGCAGCTGAAGTCTTTCTTTGAGCTAGATTCTACTCTCAGCTTGAGTTTCCAGCATTGGAACTTTAATTTCATTTTTGTTATTTATTTTTTGGAGCATGTTGTGTCACCTCAGAGTAAGCAATCAGGCATTGCTGGATTTCAGTGGCAATTTTACTGCTGGAAGGCAAGTACCTATGGGATGTGCACATAGCAGCCTGCATGACAGTTCCATAGCCCTGCCAAAAGATGGTAATACCCCTTAATCTAATAGAGGTGCTGTCTGATCTGTAGAGCAGTTTTCACCTCCCACAGGAGACAAAAAAGGCCTTGGCTTCTTCACCTCAGGCAGTGCAAGTGCCTGCTCTGCAGACCCAGCCTGTCCACACAGTCACTGGACTCTGCAGAGGAGATTCAGGCTGCACATGCAGTTATGTTTTGGCCATGCAGCACGTGTATCCCTCTTCCCAGCTGCTGATTTCTCACTCTCCATTGAGCCAGCACTAATATTTGTGAGGCTTTGCAGTGAACTGGATCAGGGAAGTGGTTGGATTGAAAAGTACCACGTTTTCAGTGTGTAATCATGGCCTCGAAGATCAGTCATGGCTCTGGAAATTCCATTGAGCTCCACTCAACCCAAACATGTTAAGTGAGCTGTTTGACGTTAGGTGAGATGAATTACCTCTCTTATTTCTGTTTGCTGAAAATTAATTTCCTCTTTGTAGTTTTTTCTCCATTAGTGACTGCATCTGTTGTGTGAAAGTGAGAGGGTATGGTATTTGAAAGAAATAGTTTCATTATCTCCTGAATAATTTTGTTGCTGCCCTGTTATTAGTTACTTCTTCAACAGTAATCTTGGCAAAACAAATTTTTAAACTATTACTGTATAATAAATGTGTTACATGAGTGAAAAAGCATTGGGGTAAATAGTGGATATATAGTCTTGAAGGCCTAGAAAGCAGCTGAATTGTTTAAAGAGGGAAGATCAGTCACATTGAAAGGGGGGGTTGAGTGGTCCTGTTCAGAGACACTGACCTGTAACACACACTAGCCAATGTAATTTAAAATCCACTGGGACAGAAAATCCTGGGTCCAAAGAAGCACAGCTTCCTAGCTCAGTAAGTTCTCCTTGAGTTTGGCTGAGCAATATAAACCAAAAAAAAAACCCATTTCCATGTTGTTTTTGTCATTTTGTCTGGGCTTAACACCAGGAGGCAACCAAGCCCCACTTGCTCACTCACCTGCCATGGTTCAAACAACACCTGGGGCTCAAACAACCTGCCATGGGGCTGGGGAGAGAATTCAAATCAAGGATGCATAGAATTTTTCCTTATGTGACTTTTAAGATCCTGACTTTACAGCTTTGCTGTCAATTTTCAAAATTAGGGTATGTAAATTTTGATTTCTTTTAAAGGCAAGGATACCTATGGCAAGTTCCATATGGTATCTTGGAGTACAACTGAGTAAAGGGAAGAAAGATGACATATTTTTTGGGTGAGTTTTTTTGGAGAAGGGGTGTGCAACTGGCAGTCTTGATGAAGGGGTATCTTACAAAAATTTTTCATCACATGCATAGAAAATGTTCACTGACTTTTGTTATTAATACTTTTTAAAATAAAAAATAGTACGAGTATATAAAGTTACAAACTATGAAAATTGAATCAATTGTCACATGATAAATTAGAAAATATGCATCCTTTCCCAGGTGGAAGTCTGGGTGTCACACTGTAGGTACCAAATCCTGTTTTCCATTCTTTTTTGTGTTGAATCAGGATATTGGAAATATTCTACAGCTTAAATATTCAAGGCTCTTCCTATCCAGTGAAGTTTTCTAAAAATATCTATTGCAATCACGAGTTTACATGTGCTGTTTTCAACCCCAGCATTCTCAAAATGACCTAGAGGTAATGGCTGTTTCAACTTTAACCCTGGTATTTGCAAGCAAGCCCTTTACACGATCAATTTGTTTATGCAGAAAGATCAGACTTTGTTACTGCTTCCCAGAGACCTTTGCATCTCAGAGACCTGTTACCTTACAGAGATTATCCCTGGTGTGGCAAGTATTAAATGTGGAAGGGCTGGAGGTTTAGTATCCCTCCATCCCTTGCCAAAAATGAAGCAAGTAACTGATAGCTGCATGTTGAGGTGTTTTGCTTTAATAATCTGACTGATTACTTTGGGACTGATTTCAAGATGATAGGTAAGTTACTCAGTGGGTATTCACAGTGAGATGGTGGGAAAAGACTTCTTGTGAAAATAGACATATTTCAGAGATAACAGGATGTGAGAGAGTAAAACCTGTTTGACCTTAAAACCATAATTACATCAAATGGTGTCCTTATTCTTCTATGCTCCATTCTCTTGTTTTCAGTTTGTATGTGTTGGTACTTGGGGATAAGAAAGGGGTTATGGAGACTGAAGTATTCTATGGGAAACTGAGAAAATCCTCTGCCAATGTCTTTGTGGCAGAGAATTTTTATCAATACTTAGAAGACACAGATCTTTGAGTGGAATCATCATGCTGCATCTACTACATCTACTGTTGTAACATGTACAGGGCTTTTTGTAAAGCAAAATTCTTTCTGTGAATGTTAAATGAGCTTCATACTCATTACCCTTTTTCTTTTAGGAGCTTTTTTTCATTCAAGCAAGGATCAATGCATATCATGTGAAACCTGCCAGTGAAAGCCTATGCATGTGCAAACATGCACTGAACACAAGAGAAGCCAGAAGGCAGTTTACTGCATAAATACTAGGCATATTTCTTACAGATTTTCTGTGCTTATAAAAAATTATTTGTCAGTATTGTGAATATTAGTATATTTTGAGTCTTCAGAAATTGTTATGTTGTTGCCATGCTTGCTTAAGTACCAGTTAATCATTGACAAGAGCACTAATGATTAAGCAGCTGTAATTTAATTGTAGTGTTTGAAAGTACAAAAGGGTATGTAATTTAATAGTTAAAACAAGAAGCACTCCATTTATGTTTCACTAGCTATTAAGTTGTTTTTACAGAAATTTAACTAAAAAGGCTGCTGAATTTTACATATTGATTGTAAACCTGGAAAGGTATGGTGTGGTTTGGGGGATACCAGGCAGCTGTTGCCATGTTCAGAGGTCAGCTCTCAAGCCTTTCCTTTGCTTTCCTGACAGGTAATGCCTATTTTGGTTGAGGGTAGACTTCAGTTTTCACTTAATCTTTTAAAAATATGTGTGCTGGATGAAGAAGTGGTACTTGGAGAGATGTGTATGTGATTCAGCAGGGAACACTGAATGCAAGCAGCCCACTGGAACCTCCCCAGCTATCCTGGGGCTGAGTGTCTGCAGAGGAATACAATCCTTCTGTGCTGTGAACAACTGGTTTAGCCCAGGAGAGCTTCATGGAGAGCACACTGGAGGAGCAGTGCCAATCATATGCTCTGCCATTCCTCTCTTCTTTTTGCTAATGGCTCCCTAGGGATACAAATTTGGTAGTCTCTTTTAGGTTGCTGGAGGTTTCTTTATACTTTTCCCCCATCACCAAATAGATATATCACACAGATAGGAATTTAACTTTATTTTCACAAATTACATACAAGGGATTTCTCTTTTCTGGGTCTGAGTATGTTCTGGTTATGTCAGGGATGTGAGTAGATAACTAAGAGCAAACAGCACAGTTCCAGGTGTTTCTGGGCTTGTCCCTGCTCTGTGTCCAGCTCTCACCCACCAGCACAGTGGGTACAGTAACATCCCTGTTGTCTGTGACTGGAAATCATGGATTAATTCACATACTTACTCTCCTACATATTCCTGTTTGCTGCACTATGTGACATAGAAATTATTTTCCTTTTCTGGTCAGAATTAGCCTGTTTCAAAGAACTGGGCAAATAGATCTGTACTAATGGTATTTGTAGAATGAGATGGCAACTTAGTAATAGTGACAGCATTGCCCTTATGTCTCCTGCTCAAGAAGAGTGAGTAGAATATTGATGTTTGTTACAAGTTTTGGTGGGAAGTGTATAATGCCTTCTGTAGAAACACTTTTCTCAACAATGGAGAGAAAACAACTATCTACCATTGACCTTGTCATAACTTTCATTCATCTTGAAGTCTTTTGGGGAATTTTCCCCACCCTGTGCTCTTGATGATTCATGTTGCATAAAGCTTCCAGAGCAATAGAATGTTGTATAATATTTCACTTTTGGATTAGAAATCCTGTATTCAGTGTGCTGCAACTGGTTCAAATATTTTTTTTAATATCTGACTTTTTTTTTTTTAATTATTCTTTCACCAGTATAAAGAAGTTTAAGTGACTGCTCTACTTGATCAAAATGGTGGACACTGAAAACCAGCTCTATCCCCTTACTCCCTTGGAGGAGGAGGATATAGACAGCCCTTTATCTGGAGAGTTCCTACAAGATATGGAGAACATTCAAGACCTGTCCCAGTCTCTAGGTGATGATAGTTCTGGAGCTTTAAGTTTAACAGAATTCCAGTCACTGGGAAATGGTCCAGGATCTGATGGATCTGTTATAACAGGTAAGAGTTTGGTTTAACATAAAACTTTCTTTTATAAATAGAATGGTAGAAATTAATAACTACTTTAATGCTGTAATTATTGTTTATGATGAAGTGACACTAGAAATATATAAGCTGATTATGGCATGGTCTTAAAATACTTAAAGTTTAAGTTAATATCTTAGACAAATATCACTGAAGAATGCCTGTAATATGAAGTTACTTAGCCTTTGGTCAGAGGCTTTGGGAGATCAGAATGGGAATCACTGCAGTGCTGTGGGACACTGTGGAGTTCTCAGTAAGGTTTTCCTGTTGAATCTGAGTGTTTGAAAGTCTTTTAGCAGGAGAGCCATTTGAAGTAGTTTAGTGTTAACCTTTTGGTTGGTTTGCATTATGCTTTGTTTTTGGGAGTTCTTACTTTAGATCAATTCCCAGCTTGTGATCCCTATTTCACCTCGGAATAGTAGAACTGAGGCAGTTGAAATGAGCAGTGTGGGTTTGAAGGAAATGGGGAGAACTGCCTTCTGGCACTATGGACTGAAGGAATGTTTCCAGAACTATGATTTTGTTCCCTTTTGGGAGATGCCTTGTACAGGAAAAGTTATGATGTGCTTTATGTATGTGTGTGTTTGTTTATAATGTGGTACTTCAGAGGCACGAGGGCTTTACAATTATTTGTGTAGGTATGTACAAGGCCTACAATAATTTAGATCAGCTTCTACTGTCACTTTCTCACGGAGTATTCAGTGCTCACTGCAAAATGTACTGGTTTTGTGGTCAGAGAACATGCAAAATGTAAGCTTGCAAGGCTCAAATTCCATAAGGCAAGTAAAATGAAATTGCACTTTTAAAAAATCCTGGGGTTTAGGCTGTTCTTGATGACTCTGATGCCTGTGGGCTTGGCAGCACTGGCAATGGAGACTCTGAGCTCCGTGCCAAGGTTTTTTTTCCAACATAATACTTGCTGACCTACATTCATGAGTGTTTCTTAATCTGTCTGTTAAAATAACACACCCATTAATTTGCTGAAGTCTTGTGGTGCAAGTTGCAAGATGGAAGATAAAAGAAATTCTGGCCTCAGAAAATATTTTCCTCAAACAAGGTGGAAATATTAATTGAAATAATTAAGGCTGGAACATGTTAGTTTTGTAATGTGTTCATCTACTGGTGAAACATCTGGTGAGTTTATTTCATTGTACAATTCAGAAATGCTTCGCCCATTAGAAGAAAAACACAAAATATCTGAGCCAGGCTATTTTAGAAGCAGGCATTTGTGTTACCTTCCTTTTAACATCTGTTCAGCCTTTCTACCAATGTGCAGGACTCATCCATCTGCTTTTCAGCCCTCAGTTGAGATTGTCATTTAAAACAACGAGCAGCTTTTCAAAGGTCAGGGGTTCTTACGTGTATCTCAAGTGTATCTGTGTGAGGTAAGAATGTGTCTCCTGTGGTGCTGCAACAAGAGATGCCCTGCTCATCCCTGCAGCACGGGAGATGGAAGATGCAAAGCCAAGATGAGCTGTTCACAACCTTTCTGCCAAGAGCAGTGGTGTGGTGTGTATTTACTGGGTCCATTATCACCCAAATAGTTCTTGTTGCCAGAGTCACTTCAGTAAGGCCTTTTCCTTCTTGACATCCCATGTCACATCAAAATTAGCAAGGTACACCCTGTATTTTGTGTGTTTGCACTGGAAATATGAATTATGTTTCAAAGAATTATGATCAAACATTAGTCCACTTAATGACTATTAACACAAGATTATTTTTTAGAATAAGCTCATTTTTTGTGTGGTTGTTAGTATAGAAACTGTATCAATCTTGCTAGTATAGTATTTATGAAGTGTTCCTTTTTTTTTTTAGATACCCTTTCACCAGCATCCAGTCCTTCATCCATTAATTTTGCCACAGCTCCAGGTAGCATAGATGAATCACCCAGTGGAGTACTAAACATTGAATGTAGAATTTGTGGGGATAAAGCCTCAGGCTACCATTATGGAGTACACGCTTGTGAAGGTTGTAAGGTAAAGTCATCATTTTCTTCTTAAGAACCTAAATCATGTTACTTTATTTATGGGGTAATATGAAGATAAACATATGGTATATGAATGTTTCATTACTATAGCTCTAGCCATTACAATTCCTATCTGTGGTCTTTTTTCTGAATTAAGTCATCCAGATACCAGAACTCAGACCTTCATCAAGCAGGAGCAATTCACAGTGATAATTTTAATACTGCTTTTCTGCGTGTAGTTAGTGAAATGCTAAAACAAAACACTAAACTGTGACCAAAAAAATCAAAATCTTCTTGCTCCACTACATTTTATTTGTGTTGGGAATCTGGCTAGGAGGAGTATGCCACATTCCTGTTATAACAGCAACAAATCCTGAGTTTCTCACCTCCCCCACATGCTGCCTGAATCCCTTAGTTTTGTACCTCTTGTAGTTTTGGGCCAGGGCATGTCTCTAGCACAAATTACTCTTACCATTAATGCACAACTCTTGAGATGATATAACCCATGAACTATAAGATTCTTTTCTTTTTCCTTTCATGTTTTAGATTTCCATCTTTTTTCTATATTAGAAGGTAAGAGGAGAGAAAGAACAGTCTATGTGTGCAGCTTTCTTTCATGCATCATGTCAGTATGATCATTTGAATGTAAATCTTACAAAATAATGCAGAATATCTGTTAGAGATGGGGAGATGGGACACACCAGTTCCTAGCCAGGTGTGTCCCACAGCCTAAATGACATGTTGCTCTGTGATGTGACACAAAATGTTGAGATGGCTCTGGATTTGCTGTCCCTGTGGTTGGGCAGTGTGTGAGCAACCTTGCTTTGCAGACTGGAGACATCCTGGAAAGAGCAGTGGAGGTAGAGGCTGTTCTACAATAAATGGGAAAAGAAAAAAAATATACCTGTATGATTGAATCATTAACATTAAATATTGGTTTTTTCAAACTTTTTATAGGGCTTTTTTAGAAGAACAATTCGTTTAAAACTCATCTATGATAAATGTGATCGCAACTGCAAAATTCAGAAAAAAAATCGTAATAAGTGCCAATACTGTCGTTTTCAAAAGTGCCTTTCAGTTGGAATGTCACATAATGGTAGGTAAGAGTGCCCTTAATTTGTTTGTTCCTACCCAGAGTCTGCTGCTGGAGGCAGGCACTTGGATAGCATTTTTACTCACACACATGAATTGAACCTCAGATTTTTTACAGGATAGGTGGCTGTGGGGGGTGCCGGTTTCCCTGGTGGGTTCATGTGGTTGATACAGAGCTGCCAAATGTGCTGTTATGAGCTTTACACAGTTGTGCTACGTCTCACTTGGTCCATATGAATGTTCATTTATTTGCTTTCTTCAGCCCAGAACTTTGGCACCAGTACTCCCATTGAAACAAATTTCAATACTGGAAGAATTCTGTCTGAGGGTTTTGTAGAAGAGTAGGAGGAGAACAACTGCTTTCATTGTGAGGGGGAGTGATGTAGGATAGAAATCTGTAGGAAAGCAGCCTTCACTATTTTTCAGGTTACAGTGCAACAGCTCTTGAGCAGATGATCAGAAAGTGGGGAGGGAGGGCAAAGGTCTATGCTGACTGTGCAACAGGAATCTGGTAGGTTGTTTGTTAAACAGAATGGTTTAAAATTCAGAGCATTTAGATATCCAGTTTAAAAGTTATGTTGTTGTTTGTGCTAGTGATTTAAGATAAGGGTGGCAAGCTTGTGGCTTACAGACCAATTTCAGCAAACGAGGCAGCTCTCTGTGCAGGACATAGCTTGCTGAGCAGCACCAGTGAAGAGGGAGAGGCCAAGCCATGAGAAAGCACATCTCACCTGGACAGATGACAGTAATTTTCCTTGCTTGGCTCTGATATTGTCCAGGCTGAACCTGGGGGCAGGTGCAATGTGAAAGTAGGTAAAAATGCTGGAGTAAGTGAAAAGCTGTGGGTTAGGAGACAAATTTCCTAAGGAAACTATGCAGTTGGGATGGGAACATGACTAGGGAAGCTGCTTGTGACATTGTAGTCTAGAGTCCCAGCTGGAGGCATTGTGAGAGTTTACCTTCTGGTTCTGCAGAAGCCTGGCTCTCTTGCAGTGAGCCTTGACTGAGATTGAGGTGCACTGGGAGAAGGTTGGTAGTCTCTGCAAGACTGGGGATAACCATCCTCAAAAAGTGTGCTGGACAGCAGAGTGACAACTCAGACTGGGAGCTGAGCAGGGAGCCGTGCTGGTTGGCAGGAGCTGACATCCATGTGAAGCTGTTTCATTCTACTAAAAACACTGTGGCCCCCTGTGCTCCAGTTGAAGGGAATAGCCACAGTTTTATTGCAGCAAACATGTGGGAGGCAGCAGGGGAAAGGGGTGACTGCTGACCTGCTGGCAACACTTCTCAGGAAAAGCACTACAACTAAATTTACACCCGTGATCTTAAACTGTAAGTTTTAGTTTAGAGCAGTTATTCTTCCATTTTTTCAACAGGTTGGTGAGACCACCCACCCTTAAGGGGAAGGAAGCACCTAAGCCAGGTTCCAAACAGGCTTTCCTTGTTGGACTTTCCCTGAAGTCCACAGCTAATTTCAGATCATGCCTAGAGTCAACTCCTTATGTCATGAGAAGGCCCCCTGGGCACGTTGAAGGGTTGATGGTGCTCATGCCTTGAATTGCTCAGTGTAGGCAGTGAGGTCCTGTCCTCACTGGTTGGATGCTGAAATGCAGTACAAGCAACTCCCTGTATGAGCCATCTCAAACCCTTGCATACCTCCCAAGGGTAAAATGGGGCTGGCTCAGCTTGAAACTGAAACTGAAGAAGGATGTGGACGTGCCCATGAGTAGCAAGAACACTTGCCCAAAAAACAGGAGACCTCATACCCAGAGGTGTTTCAGACTTGCATCTTCTGCCTCTCAGAAGAATATCCCAATGACTAGATTGGGTATTCAGACTGTTCTCCTCTCCAGTTCTGAAGGGTTAGTCTGTTGAGAAAGCAGTATGGAGTGCTGGGGGTAGAGAAGATTTTGTTGCCTTTGATCTGTAAATGCAGGTCTTTGGGGTTCCCACTGGCAGTACAGATGTGTTGAATGAAGAACTGGATGCCCCTGCAGGTTCTGAGCCAGCAGTGGGATTTCAGGCTCCATTGCAGCTCTCCAGCTCATGTGTGTGCCTTCTGCCAAGCTCTTGTCATGAGTTTACTTAGTGTTTTAAAAGCTCCCAAGGTGGACTTTGAGTTTCGCATTGGGAGCTGTAGAACTCAGTAAGGAGAAAACAAAATACAAGTATATTTAGGTAATGCAGAAGGGAAAAGGAATGTGTTCTAGCCCACTGCAGATAGCACTTTGTGTTCTGAAACACCTGATTTCCTTCAGTTTAGCATATTAGTCACTGACTGTGTTTGGAAGGGGGCTATGTCTCACCTCTACCTCAGTTTTTCTAGACAAAAAATCTTACTGCTCTCATCAGCAATGGTAAAAGGCTTAAGTTCTTGTACAATTTGTGTTTGTTTTACAATTCTGTCTTCCCATCAGCAATACGTTTTGGACGAATGCCAAGGTCTGAGAAGGCCAAGCTCAAAGCAGAAATTCTGACAGGTGAAAATTATGTAGAAGATTCAGAAATGGCAGATCTCAAATCTCTTGCCAGAAGAATTCATGATGCCTACCTGAAAAACTTCAATATGAACAAGGTTAAAGCCAGAATCATCCTTGCAGGGAAAACAAATAACAATCCAGTAAGTATTTTTTCTGTTACTTTAAAATAAAACGGACAGGTATGTAAGGTGATTGTAGTAATTTGGTAGATGCTTTAGCAAATCTTTTAGAAAATAAATATTATGGTAATACAAACATGAACTATTCAAAGCAAATATCTGTAGTAAATATGGTTGCTTTTAACCACTATCAGAATAGTAAGAAGCTTTAGGAAAATCAGGTAATTACCTTGTAAATGGAAACTCATAACCCTAAATTATTGTTCTTAATAAAAAAATGAAGTGATATCTAAATGTGAATACATCTTGATATGGGGAGAATGGTTCAAAATTATTTTCCTATTATGACAGTGGAAAAAATATGTTTTTCTGTCACAAATGCTAGGATAAGTACTATTAGCTTGCAGGGTGTACAGGTGCTCTGCATGACTTTTTCTTTAATCAGAATAATATTTATAGCAGGAGGGGAAAGAAAACTTAAGTTTGTAATTTTTTGTTTACAAAAATGTGCTGGCCATTTCCTCACCTTGTCTTCCTGGTCTTTTCTGTATGATTCCTTTGAAAAGCAGAAGCAAGCAAGGTTGTGAAGACACATTTGCTGTAGAAGTTATTTTTCTTTCAGGGTAATTTAGCCAAGGTATACCTAATTTGATCAACTGCTTTTTTTTAGTAGCACATGGGAGAGTATAATTGATGTAAAGACTCACTTGTTTCACTTTATGCATATTTATTTAAGCTCCACTGTGATTTTTGTTACTTTTATGTAGAAGATAAGTATCTTATTTTATCAGCAACTTCAGTTTCAGTAAAAGTTTGCAGGGAAGAAACTTTACATATGCCATAATGAAAACCATGTAAATGTGGGGATGAGTGCTATCAAAATGGTAAGCAAGCTGTCTTCTGCATTATGGAATTTGGCATATAATAGTCTAGTCTAGTCTAGTCTTTAGAAGAGAGACACATGTATTATCCCAGTCTTTTTCATTGCACTGAGAGGTGTGTAAGATGAGGCACAGGCTTAAACATTTTAGGGGTACAGACTGACACGAGCCCACAGTAAATACCACCTTTAGCTTCTCAGTGAGTGGGCTTCTGCAGAAAATCAATTTTGTGCTGGTTACCCTGTGTCAGAACCATAAGCCACAGTTTGTGTCACACGTGCAGGGATGGATCCTAGAGCACCTAATCCCAGTTCCTGTATTTGAATGTGTCCCACAGCCAAGGGACTGACCAGCCAACAGCGACCACCACACGTGTGCCCAGGTGAATATGCACAGAAAAATTAATGAAGAATCAGCCCTAGGATGTTTCAAACAGGCTGCTATCAATTTTTTCCATATGCAGGGAAGAGCAAAGGGGTTTTAGGCTATTTCGCCATCTCTTAAGAAAAGAAACATTTTCATTTTCTTTCGACTTTTCAGCAGAAAAGCAAATTTTAAAAGAAGGGGGTTTTTGACTGTAATTAGCAGCCCACCTGTTTCAGAACTGTGTATTAACAGCTAATTTCAGTGAATCCTAATTTTTGGCACCACTACAATTAATTTCAGAATGAATGAGCATTTTTCATGATGACAGGTTGTCGTTTTTTAATTTATCTCCCAAGTCCTTAGCCATCAGCCTTTTCAACATCCTGAAATGATGTTAATTTTTTTTTTAAGTATATAAGATAGTGTACATCTTTTAAAGGTTTAGAGATGTGTTGTGTTTCTTGCTTTGCCACTTTCCACTCATATCCACCTTCCCATGGAAAGTTCTGCTCTGTGTAACTGTGCCGGAGTGAGATGGAATGTGCAGTAGCCATAAACATTTTAAAATGGAAAACCATAGGAACCTGACCTGTTGGACAGTCTTCTGAAGGAAACAAGTGAATTCTATGAGTTCCTGACAGAACTCATGTGTTCCCCATGCTGTTTAATCTGAGCGGAGCAAAGCAGTACAAGGAAGGTGCTTGGTGTGTATGGAACTGAGTTTCTGTTCAAGGTCAGTTGCTGTGAGTTTGTTAGGTTAGGAAGCACTGGGGTTTGCTGTTTTTTTTTTTAGTGGATTGTACTTCATTTTGGTTGTTGCCCTGCAGATATGTATCAAAATATTTTTGAGTTCTGATTGTTCATAAGAAAGTCTGAATGCTGCTTTTCATAATGATGTTTTCAGAGTGGCTCCTCTGTTTGTAAAGGATGTACCTTTCAAAACAAATGGGATTATGGGATTTTGTGCTTGGCATTCTACTGGGATTCTCTGTTTAGAGATGACTCAGCACCAACTGCAGCTAGAAAGTTGGGACAATTGGGACATTGTCTATGAGAAATTGATCATAAAACACAAGAGAAGTGCAGGGTTCACGTTCTTATGCAAATATGCTGCCCTGTATTGAAATTACTGTCTGTATTCCCCTTAGGGTACTTCAGGAAAGCAACATGATATGCATCAAGTGTAGTTAGTTTAGAAATCAATTAGGAGTGTAGGCAGAATAACCTGGACTTCTGGAGAAGGTAATCCAAGTCTTTTGTGAACCCTCTGGCACTGGCTCTGAGATGGATTTGTGCATCCCAAGCACAGGAGTGCTGGAGCTTCGCTGTAACTATTAGATAAAACTAAATTAAAGATACGCCATACATCTTTACATTTGACTATTTGCATTGCTGTTTGCAGAGCAGACTTGTTAGGTATTGCAGTTTGTCGTACACTGTTTGTCTTGATGGGAAGTACAAAATAACTCAGGGTTTATTGATAGTTGAGGACTGATTAGCATGGAAGTTAAAGTTGAGCAAAATTCTTATTTTTTAGGAAGAGAACGATTAATAACCATTATTTAGTGACTGAACCAGTGGGTTTTTTCTCTGTAGCCATTTGTTATACATGATATGGATACCTTATGCATGGCAGAGAAGACCCTGGTGGCAAAACTGGTGGCCAATGGGATTCAGAACAAGGAAGCAGAGGTTCGAATCTTCCACTGCTGCCAGTGCACGTCTGTGGAGACTGTCACAGAACTCACAGAATTTGCCAAATCTATCCCTGGCTTCTCCAACCTGGACCTGAACGATCAGGTGACACTGTTGAAGTATGGGGTGTATGAAGCCATATTTGCCATGTTGGCCTCTGTGATGAACAAGGACGGGATGCTGGTGGCTTATGGGAATGGATTTATAACCCGGGAGTTCCTGAAAAGCCTGAGAAAGCCATTCTGTGATATAATGGAGCCAAAATTTGATTTTGCAATGAAATTCAATGCACTGGATTTGGATGATAGCGATATATCCCTTTTTGTTGCTGCCATTATTTGCTGTGGAGGTAAGCATGACCCATTTGTTCTCTAAGGTAGTAAATTTTAATACTTCCCTCTCGTGAATTAAAAATTTTAATGGAAAAGCTTCTATCCTCTGGAAGATTCAGTTCTACCACTAACTACACTTTGAGGAATCATTATAAAATTATGACATGTATTCTTTTGCTTGTTTTGAGAACAGATCGTCCTGGTCTTGTAAATGTAGGACACATTGAAAAAATGCAGGAGAGCATTGTGCATGTACTGAAACTTCACTTGCAAAACAACCATCCTGATGACACCTTCCTCTTCCCAAAACTTCTCCAAAAAATGGCTGACCTCCGACAGCTGGTCACAGAGCATGCTCAGCTTGTTCAGATAATCAAGAAGACTGAATCTGATGCACATTTACACCCTTTACTACAGGAAATCTACAGGGATATGTATTAAGGACTTTTAGTATTTTTTTTCCACAATATTTAAAGACAGAGAAATACAGATGGGAGCAAAACTACTTGTACAGTTATGGGCTGTTCACTCAGCCCAGAGCAGGAAAAATCTAAAACTGGGGAACTGGAGTGTTACACTTCTTTTGGTTTGGGATCTTTTGTCTTCGTTTGAAAAAGTGCTGCAGAAAAATACTGGTCAGAGTGCTCAATGAAGTGTCTTACAATGGTTCTTTTATTTGGAAATTTGAAGATTGGTAAGGAATACATATTTGTATAATAAATCAGAATGTTAAGTAACAGGAATGAACAAAATTGTATTTCCTCTTGGCTTAGTCATTTTAGTATTAATATAACAAATTCAGCACCTTCCTTCCAGGTATCTGCACAATCAGAAAGACAATGCACTTTTGCCTAATGGTAACTACTGAGAACCAGCTAACACTTTTTCTTAAAGCATTCAGTCTAGGTGTAGCAAATGGCTGGATATTACTGTCCATACACTTCTAAAAATTTGGAAAGATTTTTCATCCATTGTTGCTTTAATTCCATGAAATTATGTACATCTTTATCTAGTGTTATGTTGGCATACTTAGGATTAGCAGGTTTAAAAGACAGTTCTCTTATGAAATTAAACAAAATCCAAAGAGTTATCTAAAAGACAGCAGAGATGCTCCAACAGGTGTGTCTTGAAGATAAACTGATGGGACCTTTTTGTTTCAAAAGTCTGTTAAGGAAATGTGAAAATATGAAAAGATATTGTATACCCTGTATTTTGGTAGAACTTGTAATAGCTCAGGATGCAGTTTTGACATAAAAATACTATTTTGAATTAGCAAGAGTTTTGGAGAGACTGAAAAATCTGATCCTACCCTAGGAAAAAAAAGAATTTAAACTTTCCAGCACTGATACTGCACTCTACTGCAGTGATAGATGACTCCAAAGGAATAATTGGATAGGAAAGGCACCGGCTTCCTCTAAGTGTCTTGGCAATATAATTGTTTGGACCTGTTTGCTTCTCTGATGAATGCACTGCTTCATTTTTTACCCACTTGGATATATTTCTATTCCTTCTTTGGCCTCATGGATAGAAGTATTTGGTACTGGTTTTCACCAGATTTTGTCCTTGTGGATAAGGTGACAGTAATACCAAGAGCAGTGTTTGTAGGTGTTAGACTGTGTCATAGGATGGAAGGCAGCACAGCTGAGAGTAAGTTTATTGTGTTCCTAGGAGTAAGCTGGTTTTTTGCTGTACTCCTGCTGCAAAAGAAGCCACAATGAAATGGCTTCCTGACTTTGCCACTTCATGGGCTCTTTTCTCAGAGAGCTGCCCAGCAGTGCCAGCTGCATGCAAGGCACTCTGCTGTTTCCCTTTCGTTTCTTTGATACAGTAACCTCACATTATTACCACATAATTTTACTTTTTGTTTCACAACAACGAGGTCTCAAAAGCAATCCCAGCATTTTCACTGCAGTTAACCTTTCAGTGGCACAGGAGGACACTTTGTACTTGTTTTACTGTAGGCACCAGAATCTTCACTGCAAGGATTGAGTGATGAAGTGAGACCATCACCTTGTCATTCCTATTTCAGTGGCAATGCTTGTTTCTGACCAGGCCCACAGGCACAGCTGGACACTGGAAAAATTACAGGTTTAAAGGCAACTTGGGGTTTATCTGGGCAATGATTGTGGCAGAAGTTACAGATAATTACAGATACATTTAGTGTGATATATTGAAGCACAGGCCTCAAATTTGGTGAGCATCTAGGGCAGGATAGAAATAGTAAATGCATGTGCACAAAACTTCCTCCCCTTCCCTGTTGCCAGCAGGAAGAACACTCAAACACTCAGAGAGGAATGTTGGTCTTGCCAGGAACCCTCAGATGAGAAATGGGCTGCCTTTTGTGTCCCAGAGCAGCACACAGTGTGCCCTCGGAAACAGAGGATTTTAGGAATGCTGCTGCTTTATTCTTCCAGCCAACCCTGTTTCACTGGGGAGCTGTGGGGTTTGGGCCGTGGAAATAATTGATCTGAGATATTGCTGATGCAAGAAGTTGTCAAAATATCAGCCATTCTGGGATGCTGTTCAGAAACTGTAGGAGCCAACTGTTAGTTGGTCCTCTAAAAAAAAGGATAACTTGAAATATTTTCCCCCCAAAGTCAGATTTTTTGCAAAGGGCAAATTTCAAAGTTGTATCCCATAGTCTAAGTGTACTGTAGGTTCTCAGGAAAAATCAGACACAGTCAGTGTGCATAACTATTTTTCCAGCTCTTGTTCTCAAAAGTGGCTAAAATGCTTTAGTAACACTTTAAAACATGGAAAATTAATAATAAATACTTAAATTCTCAGCAAAGCTATAAAGAAGGGCAAATAGAGTAACTCAGTGAAAGACATAATATTTAGCTGTTTTAGCAGCTGCTTGTAAGAAAGTCCTGTTATTAGTATGAGAAAAGTGATTAATTTTTTTGTTATTTGAAAACCAGTGAGAAATTTTTGACTATTTCCTTGGACATTAAAGGTTTGATTTCTGTTTTAAATTAAATTGCAGACCCTTAATGAAAAAAAAAAAAAAAGAAAAAAAGAGAACACATCTCTGAATTACAGAGATATGAAAACAAGATGTTAACACAGCCTAAAATTCTGGATGGATTCCACTGCCCACACTGCTGTCCCGTGCACATTCCCACAGTCACCTCAAAGAGTGGCATGGGGCACACAATTCCCTTCCCAAGAATTAATGGGCGAAAGAATTTCTCATTTCTACATTATGCTTTTAAGGAATTACATTTGCTCCTTCAGGAGATGACTACAGCAGGTTTTGGCCAAGGAGATTTTAAAGTTATTCAGTTTATGTCCATTTTTTTTTTTTTAATTTGGAATCCAAACTAGTCTCAGATCTATTTCTGATCAATTACTTCAGCACCTCCCCTATGTGCAGATAAACTAATACTTTAAAATACCCCATCCATGGAGGGAAGCAAAGTGATCAGATTTTAGGATTAAAATGGTATTAAAGATTTACTGGCTCATCAGGTACAGTTGGGATCTGATTCTTGCCAACATAACTCATTTTACTGTCATAGCATGGAAGAACTCTGGTTAGCAACCAGACCCCACAAACAGCTCAAGGTGAGAGACAGCAGGTGGATAGAGAAATATCCTGGGAAATAATGGTCTGACTTAAGTTTTCAGCAAACCTACAGATTACTCATTTCTGAGTTTTGTTTGGGGGGAAAATATTTATTTATTTATTCTGGTGCCCTAGGTACATTTTGTCAAAGGGGAAGGGGGGAAGAAAAGGAAGGTTTTGTGCCAAGTATTAGGGAAATCTGAGGTTCATTCTTTTCTCCTCCTTAAATATTCCCTTTAAATCCACTGTTTAAAAAAAATAGTTACTTTGTACCTTTCAAAATTTCCGATCCCACTTTTGCTTTAAACACAAACTGACACCTGATAGGAAAGTTTCCATTTACAGAAACAACATCTTCCATTGCATTTAAAGAAACCACATTTTGTGTTAGCTGCCATTTCCATGTGCCTTTGTGCTCTGGTTCCAGCAGCTGCTGCAGAGCTGAAGTGCTGCCAGCCAGCAGAGTTTTGCATTATTCCTGCCCCGTGCAGATCTCGGAAATACCAGCAGTTGCACTAAGCCTGTTCTCATGAGAGAGCTGGCACAAGGCTGCACATCAAAGAGCTTATAATAAGCATCTAAACATTTGTTTGTTTATTCAAACTGCTGAAACCTGGGGAGATTTATTCATCACGAGAGCTGGGTCACATACGATTGAGTTTGAATTTCCTCATTCCTGACAGAAAGCCTGGACAAAGTTGGGCCCCATCTGAGGCAGAGCAGCTGGGGGATATCCTGCTGTGGCTGCAGAGGAACAGTTTCAGTCTCTCCTAAAAAGCTCCCTGTGACTTCACTGAAAATCTGCAACTGCATTTGACAAATGCATTTGCAGCTGTCATGGTACTGCTTTAGCATAAGGTCTGCAAATAATGGTCCCTCTCAGAAACCCCTCGTCCTTTAGGAAGTGTTGGAATGTAAGGTGGAGTGTGGTATCTGTGCTTGCTTATGTCCCAAGTGCTTTCCTGATAATCAGTTGCCTATAATTTTTGTATTTAGGTTTAATCAGCTTTATTATCCTTCTTTTACTGGAGATTTAAATAATATGTGGGTTTGAGCTAAGATTATTGATATTGTTATGTGTCGTGGGATTTTTTTAATTTAATGTAATACCATTTCTTCATGTTTCAATTTATAAAATACAAGAATATAAATGCAAGGTATAAACTTTCACTAAATTAATTGCAGAGGTGCTTAAAGAAAAATGTGTAAATTATTTAATTTAAATATTTGTTACATACTTTATCTTGTGAACCCTTTGTACAGTGAGGAAGTATTTCCTTTTATGGGCTAGGGATGAAGAGGCTGATGTCAAAGACAATTTGCTATTTATTCTGTCTGGTCTTTATTGCTGTATCATTTGTGAAGAACTATCACAAATTCTTCAAAGTTATCAGTGTTTGGTGTTGACCATTATAACAAAACTTTAAAATATATTTTCACAGAGAACATAGACTTCCTTTTATTCAATTTTAATAAAAGCAAGTCTAGTTGAGGAATAGCTGCAATCCCAAAATCGAGTTTTTAACTCAAGTTCACCAATAGGAAAAATAGTATGTAGAACTGAGTTCATCTTTGTTTTGCAGCATGGTAGCTCATTTTCCTTTGAAAAGAGCTAAAAAGAAGCTGCATTTGGTTTGTGCACCAGTGCTGGTGTTTTCTGTGGAGCTGACTTGTGGCTCACTGGGAATAACAATATGTACTCAGGATTATTCCCTGCCATCTGCCCTGAGGGCAACCTGCTGCTTTTATAGATGTATTTCAAACATGATTTGGCAGCACAAAACAAAACGTTGAAATGGCAATTTTGGCTTCCCTGCAGGAGGGATTTGAAATAGAATTCAGTCTGCTTGTAGGGATTCTGTGTCTGGTGCATGCAGGTGTGACAGTCTGTGCCTACAGCATCCTTCTAAGGAAATCCGATATAGGATAAAAGGTACCTTTCAAAGGTATCAGCCTTTTATTTTGCTGTGTGAACCACCAGACACAGTAGGTACCACAAGCACAATCTATTACAAATGTTCTAGCTATCATTTGATTTACTTGCTTTTTATTTGTAACATGTAACACTTTATTTCCTCAAATTGCTGCAACTTGGCATTTTCACTCCATCAGTGTCACCACACAGGTATGTTGTCTCCTAAGGTGTTTGTGTCATGTTTGCAAAAGCTCTG